TCCAGCTCTGGATGGGGTATGATGGGGCGGAGCCAGTTGGGTCCAGCTCTGGATGGGGTATGATGGGGCAGAGCCAGTTGGGTCCAGCTCTAGATGGTACAGGAAGGTCCACGTCTGGACCGGCATGTGATGCTTTCTTGCAGCAAGGCGCTCAGGTGACCCAACAAACTGCCATAAACCGGAGCCCATGGCCACACCCACTCAGAGAGGCCGCTGGAAGACTGGAAGAGCCCAAGAGTAGCAGGATGCCATTGGACGCCCGTCTGTGTGTTGATGTGAATGAACACAAGTTCATTCTGGCTCTTTCTCTTCCAGTCCCTGGCGCTTGGGGAGCTGCCGGTTACCGTTCAGACATGGCCAAGTCCAAGAACCACACCACACACAACCAATCTCGAAAATGGCACAGAAATGGTATCAAGAAACCCGGGTCACAAAGATACCAATCTCTTAAGGGGGTGGACCCCAAGTTCCTGAGGAACATTCGCTTTGCCAAGAAGCACAAGAAAGGCCTGAAGAAGATGCAGGCCAACAATTCAAAGGCAGTGAGTGCACGTGCAGAGGCCACCAAGGCCCTTGTGAAGCCCAAGGCACCAAAGGGCCCCAGCAGCAAGCTCAGCCATCTCGCTTTCATCACTCACCCCAAGCTGTGGAAGCAGATTAGAAGCTACATGGCCAAGGGTCATAGGCTCTGCCAGCCAAAGCCCAAGGCTCAAACCAAGGCAGAGGCCTCAGCTCCAGCTCAGGCTCCCAAAGGTGCCCAGGCCCCTGTGAAGGCCCCATAGAAAGGTTTCTGTCTGCCAGACAGATGGACTGGTGTGACACAGATTTGCAGATGATCAGGACCCCATGCTGTTTTTACAAATAAACTTGAGGCAGGATCTGTTAAAAACAAAACACCCCCCCCCCCAAAAAAAACCCAAAAACAAGTTCATTCTGTGCCAATTCTATTCTTTTCCTTGATGTCTGAAAACTACTGGGGTGTTACTTTCCCTCTGTCGTTGTATTCTAAATAACCTCTCCTACACACAAATAACCACTTATTTCTGTTTGACCTAATTATGGTATAGACTGTCTCTTCCTTGACCCCTGGCTAACCAGGCCACACATTTAGTTATTAGCCAGTAAATCGATTTTTCTTCAAAATATGATATTCTTGAATTCTAAAAGGTCACTTGTTAAGGAAGTGGAGGTGACGGTGTTGGCAGACACATGTCCTCTTGTGCTGTGACAGTCTGGGGTCACAGTGCACACGGCGTCATGCCCTCAGTTTACTGGAATCATTAGTAAATGTTGGTGAACAACCTAATCACCTATCTACCCATCAGCTGGACCCATTTTTTCTTTGAACAAAACACTCACTGCATGCTTAGTGCTTTAACAACATTGCACTGGGCTGAGCGTTAGGGTCAGAATCCATGTCATCCTGGATTTTATAAAGGACATGGGATCGATGGGCAGTGGTGGCGCACACCTTTAATCCCAGCACTCGGGAGGCAGAGCCAGGTGGATCTCTGCAAGTTCGAGGCCAGCCTGGTCTACAGAGCGAGAGCCAGGTCAGGCACCAAAACTACACAGAGAAATCCTGTCTTGAAAAACAAAACATGACAAAAAAATTATTAATTAATTAATAAATAAAGGACTTGGGTCAAGCAAAGTAACAGACACCCCAAGGACAAAGCAGTTGACCGCTACAAACCAAAGTGTCTCTCAATATAAGTGTTTAGAAGGCTGGTCTGGTCTATTTTTTTTTTTTTTTTAACTTACAAATCAAAAAGCCAAGCCTTCTTAGGGAAAAGAAATGTAGTTCATTTACTATGAATTGGTGGGAGAGTTGGGAGCAGAAAATACAAAGCTGGTTTTTTTTTTTTTTTTTTTTTGGTTTTTTGAGACAGGGTTTCTCTGTGTAGTTTTGTGCCTTTCCTGGAACTCACTTGGTAGCCCAGGCTGGCCTCGAACTCACAGAGATTCGCCTGCCTCTGCCTCCCGAGTGCTGGGATTAAAGGCGTGCGCCACCACCGCCCGGCGACAAAGCTGGTTTTAAGCCAAGAAAAAAAAAAAAAAAAAACCCACAAAAGGCCTTTAAGCCGAGCTAAGAAATCTGGACTTGATGCTGTGTGGACCAGGGTGCCACCAAAGGCTTTGAGTAGGAAGGGTCTGGCTCGCTAACGCTGTACCTGTCCTCTCGGGCAATGGTCCTCTCATCTTTAGACACTGACAATCAGGTGCAGAGCCACCACATCCCTACTTCTGGGGAAGGAACTGAACTAGAACCCATCAGTCAGATAACTGAAGACACACAGGACGGCTCAGAGTGGGTTTGCCTTCCTCGTTCCTGACAGGAAGGGCTCCCAGATGAACAGATGAAAGGGCCTTTCTGGAGACTGCCCTGCAGGAAGTGGATGGGACCCCCTTAAGAAAACCAGAGAGATGCTGGGCAGTGGTGGCACATGCCTTTAATCCCAGCACTTGGGAGGCAGAGGCAGGCGGATCTCTGTGAGTTCAAGGCCAGCCTGGTCTACAGAGTGAGATCCAGGAAAGGCTCCAAAGTTACACAGAGAATAACTGTCTTGAAAAAACAAACAAACAAACAAAAAAAGAAAAGAAAAGAAAACCAGAGAGATCTAGCAACTGCAATTCAGTTGCTGAAGTGTGTTTTGAATTTCTGAATGCTTTGGCTTCAGTTAGGACTAAACTAAGTTACTAACAATCATTCATAACAATAAACTTGACTACTCATAATTAATAAGCTCAAAAGTAGAATGAGGAGATTTCTGGCTCTAGCTGAGATGGAGGAATGAGCACTTGATTTATTTTATTTCCTGTCACCTGAAACAGTCAAAGCATTAGATGAAACACATGTAGGATGGTATTTGAAGACTGTGGCTGCCAGGCCATGGCCAAAGATCCCTGACATAAGAAGCAGATGCAAGCCACAAGAACTCCAGTGTGCGCCCGGGGACGGTTTCCAGGGGGTGTGGGTAGAGGCTGGGGGACCGTGAGAATCTGAGGTGACCCTGGTGGTTAGTGTTCACAGGGTACAACTCCAATACAAGGGAACAGCACAGGAGAGGGTGTGGGGACCCACAGGCGGTGTCCCCCACATCTGCAGTGTGGACTGGCATCGAGGAAGCTATGTCAGCCCAGGACAAGGCCACCCGAAACTGGAGAAAATGCTATCTGGAACTCACTCTGTTGCCCACACTGCCCTTGAACTTGAGATAACACAAGGACAGTAAACAGGACGGGAGCCCACGTGTTAAAAAGCAGAACAAGGAACACTTACAGCAGAGGCATACAGGATGGAGAGACTGAAAGAGCCCACACTGGGGGAAGCCAGCCATGTCTGGGATAAGAATGTGTTGAACGGAATGCAAAGTGGAAAAAAATATTAGTGAACGTTTTTG